TGGATTTGGAATTGAAAAAGATGAACACAAAGCTTTCATTCACTATAAAAGCTTAGCCGAAATGGAATACGCACACGGAACATTTAAAGTTGGTAATTGCTATCGATTTGGAATTGGAGTCGAAATAGACGAATGTAAGGCATTTACTTATTATAAAAAATCTGATGAGATGGGTCACGTTGACGGAACGTATAGCCTTGGTGTGTGTTACGAAAATGGAATTGGCATTGAAAAAGATGAATCTGTTGCATTTACTTATTATAAAAAATCAGCTGACATGAAACACACTACAGGGATATCTCAAGTTGCTCATTGTTATAAAAATGGAATCGGTGTCGAAAAAGACGAAACTAAGGCATCCATTTATTATAAAAAATTAACTGATATGGGTTTTACAGAAGGTCTACATTCATTCATTAAAAAAACACTAAATAGCTTAGTTAATGAACGTCAAGATGGTAAAATTGAAATAAAAGATCCTTCTGAATATTCGTTAAAAGGTATAGATATGGAATTTGATCTTGATGATGAACAATTATTAGAAACATTAAGAAAACTTTGTCCGACATTATATGGAATATGTGAAGAATGTCAGCAGCCAAATACAGGCGAATCATGGTGTAAAGATTGTAACGCTAAGCATTTTCAACAAGAGTTTTCAAAATGGACTAGCGGAAACAAGGACATTGATGAATTTATTCAAAAAGTACAACTTGATCCTAATGATCAAAGAGAAAAATTTGAATGGATTCCTTTTGATAAACTTAAAAATGTTCAATTTATTGCTCAAGGAGGGTTTGCAACAGTTTCTAAAGCTATTTGGACTGACGGACCCATAATTAAATGGGATATCAAAATGGGAGAATGGAAAAGAATTGGTGGTCAACCAGTAATTTTTAAAAGGTTGAAAAATTCAAAAAACATGTCAAAAATGTTTTTAGGCGAGGTATATTTATCAATATATGATGTTAATTGCTTAATAAAATATATTTTAATTATTAATAATAATCTAAAATTATGTAGATTAAATTACAAGTTATATCAAATCTTCAAGGCGATGTTACTCAAATTTACGGAATTACAAAAGATCCACAAGATGATGCTTATGTAATGATTATGGAATATGCAGAATATGGGAGTCTTAGAACATATTTAAATGAAAATTTTAATAATTTAATATGGGAAAACAAAGTAGAAATTTTATACTATATTGCGAGAGGTCTTAAAAATATTCATGAAAGAAATTTAATTCATCAAGATCTTCATGGGGGAAATATCGTAATGAGATCAAAAACTTTGTCTACGATTACAGATTTTGGACTTTGTAAACCTGTAGATTATTATGAAACTCTTGAAAACAGTCAAAAAATTTATGGCATAATCCCATACATGGCACCTGAAGTTTTACGCAGTGGAAATTATACAAAAGCATCGGATATTTACTCTTTTGGAATTATTATGTTTGAAGTGCTCTTTGGTTATCCAGCTTATTATAACATGCCGCATGATAATGAATTAGCTTGCAAGATAATTTTTGGTCTCCGTCCAGAGTTTGAAACACTTGCACCGAAATGCCTAATAGACTTGATGAAAAGATGTTGGGATTCTGAACCTCAGAATAGACCGACAGCCAAAGAAATTGATGATAAATTTAGAAAATGGTATGATGAACATACTGCACCAACTTCAGAAATATCAATGCATATTAAAGAAATTATCAATACATCAACAATTTTTGTTTCAAGCGAATCAGAACTCAACAAATTAAATTACAAGACTCATCCACAAGCATTATATACGAGCCGACTAATTGATTCACAAGAGATCATTGCAATTCTAAATGGTAAGTTTTACTTATTAAATATCTGTACTTATCAAAGGCAACGCACAATGTGTTATCTCTGTGTTATTTTTAAGGCATACAATTTGAAAAGAACGAATAAGGCCGTTTGAAGTTAATTTTTCGGTTAACATCATCCCCCCCAGCTGAAGTCTCCCCCGAAAAATGAACAGCCAATCAAAACGCTGGATGACTCTCGCCAGTCACCTGATTTACATCAACCAATGAAATTGTCACCTTTGTTCATTTTTATACGTTCGTTTCATATGTTCGTTTCATTTTACCCCCCTCACCCCCTCTCGAGAGTCCTGGCAAAGTGATGTTAACCGAAGAATCAACTTCAAACGGCCTAATTTAGCCAAAATTTTTTAAAAATAAATTACTCTCGTTATAGTGAACCTCTTGTTATAGTGAAGAACAATTTATATAAAAACCCTCTCGATATAAATAATTTACTAATAGACTCTCAATAGTGAAGCAATCTCAAAGCTCGATCACTTCACTATAACGAGAGTGGCTTACAGTTTACATTTGGTTATATCAATCTTTAGTTGTTTTCAAATAGCATGCCATAAATAGCTCCCTGTTCGTTGGTTTAGTTGAATAGCATCAAGAAAAAATCAAATTTCCAGTTTGCTAAATTTAATTGACTCAGCTATTAAGCATAACGATTATAAATCATTGGCAGAGATTTCTGCCTTTTATTGAAAGTATCCATTCGAACTAAAGATCGTTTATACAAGATTAATGAACCAATCAAGTCATATTATGGCACAATTCAAAATTCAGTGTCAGATTGGCCATGATCCATTCGTAGTATTGCAAAGATACAAGTATTTAAATTATATATAATAATAAATAAATTAATGATTTTTATTTTTTATTTCAATCTATCACCAGGTTCTTCAGGTAAATTTTATCATTTTGCAATCTTTATATAATTTAGAATACTGTATTTATTTAATATTTATTTAATCTTTCAGATAAATATTATATTGTGAAATAATTCACGAGTTCCTATGTGAAAATGCCATATTAGTCGTATTAAATCAAGAATAATTCAGATTAATCTATTTTTTAATAAGGAAATTTATTGCGCTCATTTATCAGATAGTTAAGAATGGCATTACAAATAATTTAACAATAATATATATAACATATTAATGTGGATTAATGTACAAATTTCACAATTTTATTTGTAAAATGTATCAATAAAAATTGACGCAAATTAGTTTTACTTGTGACCAGGGTTATGAAAAGTATGCAATGTAAATTTATAAAATATCTAAAATATATTTATATATCCAAAAAAATCCGTATTTTATTATTACTAACTAAAAAAAATCAAATTTAAAAAAATAATTTTAGAAATAAGAATCTAATAGTAACTAAAGCAAACAATCAAATTAAGAAACGGTAAAACTCTGACGAAACCCTGGTAAAGATGAAACCCGGTAAAGATGAAACTCCTAGAGAAAGTCAAAGATCAAATCCTCTAAGACCTTAAAAAGACTGAATCATGTTAATGAATCAAAGTATTTTGCGCGTTGCTAATAAGCTTAGCATTTGTCTTATATAAAAAATGTACAAAAACAATAAGCAAAGTGATAGCTTTTTGTTTGTATTCGAATAATATTAAAAGAAACTTATATTTCAGGCTTTTGAACTTATAATTTAACACCTCGCTGTTACAAATTAAGTACCATACATATGTAAGTAGTTCGGTAACATATTATTATTGACCATTATTTCCCAATTTTCTATTTTATCTAGCCCTAAAGTTTCAAAACTAACTTTAAGGTATTTCATTGACCTATAATAGATCAAATGTAAACTTTAGATCGTTTATTAAAAAGCATTGTAAGGTAGAATCGGGTATTCTGACGCGGGGGTATTTTGACGCACTTAAGTTTTTTTTATAATATCCTGCGATAGCATAGCGGGCTTTATTATGATTGGCCGATTTTTGCAGATCATCTTATCATAAGAAAGTCCTATTAAAGTAACGATTTTCTGTCACAAGATCGATTTCCGAGTCACGAATACGAATTCCGAGAGGGTAAGACTAGAGATGGGCACTATGCAGCATGGTGCTTAATTGTTACATGATTAAAATAATGAAAATCACATCGGATGTTAATTTTTACATAAATTATTTTATGTGACGATTAAGCACCATGCTGCATAGTGC